GCGGAACCTAGCCTAGAGCTCGTTCATAGTACTCTTCTGACATGTCTCACTCATAACAGATCGACAGATATACAAAAAAGAAAAAAGAAAACCTCTTTTTTTTTTATATATATTTTTTATTCTGTTGATTAGGGCCGGGAGGAAAGTATTGTTGGGTTGGTTCCCTACCTGCGTTTTCCCTCCCCACCCACCCTTTGCATGCATTTCCGAGTTGGTACAGTGCCACGTCAGCAGTGCCACGTCAGCAGTGCCATGTCAGCAGTGCCACATCAGCAACAGTGCCACGTCAGCAACAGTGCCATGTCAGCAGCAGTGCCACGTCGGTCATAGCGCCACGTCAGCAGTGCCACGTCGGTCACAGTGCCACGTCAACAGTGCAACGTCGGTCATAGTGCCACGTCAACAGTGCCACGTCAGCAGTGCCACGTCAGCAGTGTCACGTCAGCAGTGCCACGTCAGCAGTGCCATGTCAGCAGTGCCACGTCAGCAACAGTGCCACGTCAGCAAGTGCCACATCAGCAGTGCCACATCAGCAGTGCCACGTCAGCAGTTCCACGTCGGTCACAGTGCCACGTCAACAGTGCCACGTCGGTCATAGTGCCACGTCAGCAGTACCACGTCACCCACGTCAGTAGTGCCCCAACACAATTACGGGCACAGCTCTGGGCATGCCAGGCCAACTGGCCAACGAGTCTATTGCCGACTACAAACAGCGGTTCCAGACTCAACTCGCAATGATCGAGGCTGAGGAACGGCGCCAGCTGGCAGCCGAGGCTGCCCGCCTACGGGCTGAAGCAGCGGCAACAGCTGAGAAGCAGCGGCTACAGGCCGAAGCAGACGCAGATGCCCAGGCACGCCGCAAGGAAGCCCAGGATCTGCTACGGCGGCACGAAGCTGCCAGCATCGAAAGACAAGTTTTGGCATTTTCAACCGTCCAACGGCGACGACGCGACACCGGAAGAGCAGCATAAGGAGTTTCTCTCCCAACTCGTGACACAGTTGTTGTACGCTTGCAACTACCAACAGTTCGAGTTAGAGAGACAGAACCAGGAACTGCAGCAACAGTACCAGGATATGAAGACACAGCACCAGGAGTTGGCGAACCTCCGCCGGATAGTGCAGAGCCACGAGGATGCTACACGGGCACTCAATTCCCGTGTACTGGACCTGGAGCAAGCCGTATCAGGACCAGATGCTGGTGAGTCCAGCAGTGCACCCTCTAACCGCCAACTGGAGCAACGCGTTGACCATGTCGTCGCATTGCTCGGCGACATCAGCACCTTCGCTGCTCCAACCACCATCAGCAATCAGCTGGATACTTTGAAGACGGAGGTCCAGCAACTTCAGTTGACGAACACGGATGGCAACAATCCAAAGCAATACAAGATGCCAACTTTTCAACTTGAGAAGTTCGACGGCTACATGCTTCAAGACCCGGTGCTCTGGTGGGAAGCTTTCACGACGCAACTTCGGATTCTGCCTGTCGCCAAGCACGCGTACATCGGCGCCCTGTTCATGAACTCAATGGGCGGATGCCAGATCTGGTTAACCCACTTGGCAGCCACCCACGACGTCGACGTCGCAGATCTGAGAGACAAGATCACATGGGAAGAGTTAACAAGGTTGTGGAAGAAGCGGTTCATCGTCGACGACGAACCAGCACTCGCCATCAACCGTCTCTTCACCATGACTCAAGGCAACATAGCAACACGTGACTGGCTCATGGAATGGCAGAAGATCGCGGCAACGACCGATCTTGACTTACCATTTCCGCATCTACGCCGTGAGTTCTACAACAGGTCATGCGTTGCATTAAGCCAGGCACTTGGTGATCGCGAGCAGTATGCAACTTTCGCCGAGATTATTGACAAGGCGAGAGAGATCATCAAGACCAACAGGGCGGCTGCACACGAGAGGTCAGCGTGGCAGCCAACCTATGTGGAGAAGGTGAAAGCTGGTTCGCGACAGCAGCAGTTCGCTGCAGTTCAATCGGACAACACTGTGGAAGACCCGACAACCACCCAAGCGTCACGTGAACGAGATCAGGTGGCTGCTGTCCAGCCGCGAAGCAACAACAAGTCCCGAGTAAATGGGAAGGCGAAACCAGCGTCGCAGGCCGGAAACGGACAGCCAGCACCATGGGTCAAGTTCAACTTGACCGAGGCCGAATACAAGTACCGTGACCGTTACGGCTGCTGTTACTTGTGCAACAGCACCAAGCACAAGACCTCCCTTTGCCGGGATCAGGCCAAGGAGGATGTGCGGCCTGGCTTTAGCTCAAGAAACTGAGTTCTGCGGGAGGTGAGGCGACTCCACCTCCCACTCCGCCAGATTCGGCCGCCTTGCTAACGGCCTCCTACACATTTGGGGAGGATGCGAATGTCGTAAGTTCTTGGTATGCTTACGAGGACTATGCTGTCCACTTGGTCCCACCGCTGGACCAACCGCTCCACGTGCAACAATCTACCGCATGCACGGTTTCATCACCATCGACAACCGATTCGGCAGCTTCGCCGCCATCTACCGCCGGGGATTCAACGTCATGGTCAAGACTTGAAGAGCTCGACCCGTTGACATTTGCGGACTTCCAATGGATGCCCCTTCCCCGGTCCGGTCGATTGCCGAAACCGCATTGCAACGTGCTCAAGGCACAATTGCGGGATTACTTGCACACTGCAGTACCGACGCCGTTGATGGACGCCGGAGTAGAGGCGATCGGCCTTCACGCCTACATTGCGAAGATCGACCTCGAGTTCAAGACGCAACGGTGCGACGACATCGACGCACCATTGCTATATGTACGCATTCAGATCGGAGAGGCGACCTGCAGCACTCTGATCGATTGCGGAGCATCTCGCAACTACACGAGTCAGGACTTCATGGTACGCGCCGGTGAGGCGGTGTCCTTTGACATTCTGGACACCAAATTCGACCGGTGCATTGATGATGTCCAAGTGTACTTTGCCCCTCACGCAAGTGAGGCAGTGTCCTTTGACATTCTGGACACCAAATTCGACATGATCTTGGGCATGTCATGGCTGCGAAGCGAGGATCACCCGATGAACTTCTACCGCTGCACCGTTCACGTTCGTGATCGGAACGGAGTACTAGTCCCATGCACAACAGTTCCTCCTCACCCTTCAGTCAGCTGTCACGTGGTATTCGCCGCAAGCATGCGAGCTTCCATCATCAGAGACGACATCGAGGAGATGGGGGTGTGTTTTCTCCACGCCCTCCCACCCCATGACGCTTCATTGACGGACGCTTCTTCGGATCCATGCATCACCGAGCTTCTCGACGCCTACGGCGACGTGTTCGAAGGCCCGCACGGAGTAGTACCGGATCGACCCATCCGCCACGAGATCATCCTCGAGGACGGGGTCGTACCTCCGCGCGGTTGCATCTACCGAATGAGCGAGGAAGAGTTAAGTGTGCTTCGGGCACAACTCGACGACCTTCTGGAGAAAGGCTGGATTTGGCCAAGCTCATCGCCATACGGTGCTCCTGTTCTCTTCGTCCGAAAGAAGAACAAGGATTTGCCGTTGTGCATCGATTATCGCAAGCTCAACACGCACACGATCAGAAACGTCGGCCCTCTCCCACGCATCGACGACCTTCTCGAATGACTGGGCGGCGCCAAGTTCTTCTCCAAGCTCGATCTCAAGTCGGGATATCACCAACTCGAGATTCGGCAGGACCGCTACAAGATCGCGTTTAAGACGCGATATGGGCATTTCGAATGGCTGGTTATGCCATTTGGCCTTACGAATGCCCCGACCACTTTCCAAGCGGCTATGACAACGGAGTTCCGACACATGCTGGATCGATACGTACTTATCTACCTAGACGACATCCTGGTGTACAGCTGGAGTTTGGACGAGCATGTGGAACACCTGCGCACCGTTTTGGAGCGGCTACGACAAGCCAAGTACAAAGCTAACCGCGACAAGTGCGAATTCGCGTGGCAGGAGCTGGAGTACTTGGGACATTATGTGATGCCGCAAGGCATCCGTCCGCTTGCGGACAAGATCGAGGCCCTACAAGTATGGCCCGAGCCCACCAACACCACGATCGTTCGTTCATTCATGGGATTGGCGGCCTACTATCAGCGATTCATCACCGGATTCTCGAGGATTGTTGCACCTATGACAAGATTACAATCGCCAAAGGTGCCATTCGCATTCGATGACGACGCACGCCGGTCATTCCAAGCACTTAAGACAACTATGCTCATGGCACCCGTCCTTAGCATCTATGACCCCACCCTACCTACGAGAGTGACGACTGACGCTTCCGGCTATGGCATTGGGGCAGTCTTGGAACAGCACGACGAGGACGACTGGCACCCTGTGGAGTATTTCAGCCACAAATTGCCTCCCATCAACTCGCTTGATGATGCAAGGACGAAGGAGCTGCTCGCATTCGTCGTGGCTCTCAAGCGATGGCGGCACTTCCTCCTTGGGCGTCGTAGGTTGACATGGGTTACGAACAACAATATATTGACCTACTACAAGACGCAGGATACAGTGAGCAGCACGATCGGACGATGGATGTACTTCATCGACCAATTTGACTTCACACCGCAACATCTTCCCGGCCTCTCCAATCGCGCAGCAGATGCACTCTCGCGAAGACCTGACCTTTGCGCTATGACACATCATGCCTTCGCATTCGACGAGGAGCTCCAGCGACACTTCATCAGGGGCTATGAGTCCGATCCAGATTTCGCCACGCTATATGCGCAACTATCTTCGGATCACCCGCCGGCCAGCCACTACCGCATCGCCGATGGGTACTTGTTCCTGCACTCGCGCGGCAAGGACTTACTATGTGTCCCACGCGAGCGTCGTCTTCGGACTCGCCTCCTTGGCGAGTATCATGATTCGCGACTCGTCGGCCATTTCGGAGTCAACCGCACTATTGCACGGGTTCGACAACGATTCCATTGGCCCAACCTCATCATCGATGTCACAAGGTATTGCGACTCTTGCGAAGTTTGCCGACGAAGCAAACCCCGCAACTGCAACCCCTACGGCGAGCTGCGCTCGATGTCGATCCCGCAGGAACCCGGTCTCTCCATTGCCATGGATGTCACCGGACAATTCCCCCACGACCGCCTCGGACACAACGACATCCTCACAGTCGTGGACCGATTGAGTAAGTACGCGCGTTTTCTCCCTTGCAAGTACTACTCCACGGATCCCGAGCTGGCACGCCTCCTGCACACCGGCTGGATTTGCGGCCATGGTGTACCGGAAGACATAGTCAGCGACCGCGACACTCGCTTCATGTCGGCATTTTGGACTGCACTCATGTAGGAGTCCGACACGAAGATGAAGCCAAGTTCGGCTCGACATCCACAGACAGACGGGCAGACGGAGCGGGCACATCAAACCGCTCAAATGATGCTTCGTACGCTCATCCGTCCGGACCAGAAAGATTGGGTTGACCGCCTCCCCGACATCGAGTTCGCCTACAACACTTCGGTGCACCCGGCGATCGACGTGACTCCATTCGAGTTGCACCACGGTGGACGGATTGGCCGTATCTTGGCTGACCTTCCCCTCCCACGACCAGCCGGCATCGATGCCGCTTGCTCTCCCGCTTCCGTCCGGAAGTACAGGGAATTGCTGGCTCAAGCCTGCACGAATATGCAAAAGGCTCAAGTCCGCATGCAGCAGCAAGCCAACAGGCATCGCGTGCTATGTCCCATCCGCATCGACGACCTGGTTTGGGTTTCCGTGGAAAAGTTTGCACTGGAACAGGATGTCTCAGGCAAACTGCTTCCCAAGTGGTTTGGACCATGGCCCGTAACATCAGCCGCGGGCGATGAGCCCGATGGCCCTTCATTTGTGATCATCATCCCCCCGCATCTGACGGTCCATCCAGTCTTTCACGCCTCAAAGCTGGCAACATACACGCCAGCTGAGAGCGACGACTTTCCGGGCCGACGATCGCAGGACCCTCCTTCTATGGATGGTCATCAGGAAGTTGACCGCGTCATCACCGATCGCAAGTACGGCAGCAAGCCGCGACAGTACAAAGTTACATTCAAAGCCTGCGATCGCGATGACACTCGGTGGATTTCAGGAGCAGATTTGAAAACATCCGCACCGCTGATCTACGCACATTATGAGAAGCAAAGGTTAGCTTAGGAAGCTTCACGACCGGCCCCTCCCACCTGGACTGTGGTCCCTCCCTCAAATAGACAGCTTCGCCCTCGCAGGTAAGCTCGGTCTTTCAAGGAGGGGGGGGTGTGGCATACTGCGTAGCCACACAGGCCGTGCAGGGCCCGTCTCGCACTTTCAGCCTGAAAGCCTAGAAAATAGGGTTTACAGTCCCCAGTCGTTTCAGCCTGAAACTGAAAAACGAGGGCTTGCAGGCCCTATTCCGTTTTCAGCCTATTTCTGGGCCTTGCAGGCCCAGAGGCTTTTCATCCTGAAACGGAGGGCCATTTTCAGGCCCTCGTTGTTTCGACCGACCCTAAGACTCAGGCACAAAAACAGGGTTTTCGGAGCAGGCTATCTTTAGCCTGTTCCCACGACTGCCTCAAGCAGGAGCTGCAGCGGCAGCCCTGACTCCCTGCGGCATTGGCAAGAGCAGCCTCCTGGACTGCCTCGCCCTGGAGGCAGGAGGCAGGCCGAGTAGTACATAGGACTTTCCCATGCACTTCACGGTAGGTAATTGGACAGTAGGCACGAGTAGTCTTCAGGATTCGGCCGCAGCACTCAGGAGGAGCGCTGCAGTAGTCTTCAGCGCTAGCAGTAGTCTTCAGCGCTGGGCGCCCATAGCTGTAGGTGTAGTCTTCAGCGCTGGGCGCTAGTAGGTGGTAGTAGTAGCATTGGAGGGAGATGGCTGGCRGAGGCCAGCGGTACTTACCTGTGGCGCCATAGCTCCAGCTCCATCTTCGAGGTACCTGCATCAAGGCGCCAACTTCACAGGTTAGTACTGGACACAGAGAGAGAGAGAGAGTTCTTCTTCTTCCTCTGCTAAGTCCACCATCTCTTCTCACCCTCTCACCACCTGACTTCTCAGACTACGACAGAGAGAGAAAGAGTTGTGACTTGAGACTTGACGACATTGGATCCAGACTCGACATTTGGGATTCAGACATTTTGACGAGGGACTATTTGGGCCTGTGCCGAAGACTTGGTGTTGACGACATTCCCATCTTCCCCTCCTCTTCGTCTAACCCCCTTCTTCTTCGTCTGTGTATGGTTGGGGCTGGCGCAGTCTTCCTGTGTGAAGCGCCAGACCCCTTTCTCACCATGGAACGATGATGATGATGTATGTTCAGGGCTGCATTGCAATATTGATTGTTCGGATCATTGGTATCTAAGTCTTCCGCTACGCCATCTTGTACTTTGTATTGAGAGGTCGGTTCTTGTTTTGGTCTGCACCGTTATAGTATGCAACAGCGAGAGAGAAGGAGCTTAGTATAGCGATAGGGTAGAGGCAGCCATAGCTGCCATAGCTGTAGTTAGTGTGAAGTGTGTGTGTGTATGTGCGAGTGTTCAGAGTTACGCGTGTGGGATATCCAGGGTGATCCGGTGGGTGTGAACAGTGAGTTGTTTGGGCGCTGAGTTGCCATCGCCAGTTGAAAGTGAACTCGTATTTGGAAGTTATATCTATGAGTTTTGTGTGGGCGCATGTCGCCAGTTTGTTGCGCTGCTGTTTATATGCATGAAAAGTGTGAACGAGAACGAGTCGGATTGCATTGGTATCGGAGCTGGTACCCGCTATTCCATGCGCGCCATAATGTGGATGGCCTGAAGCGCCATGGCCGAGGTGGCCGCCGAAGGCAGTAGTCCGCCATACCTGAGGTTGGAGAAGTCGCCGCACACTTGCAAGAAGATCACGACAAAGAAGAGGACCGAGAGAGAGAGAGAGAGAGAGAGAGAGAGAGAGAGTAATGTTGAGCGATACAAGATTGGGAGAGAGAGAGAGAGTAAGGTTGAGCGATACAAGATTGGGAGAGAGAGAGAGAGAGAGTAAGGTTGAGCGATACAAGATAGGGTTACTATGAACCTGCCCCGTTGAAGATATCGCTACGGAGAGAGAGAGAGAGAGAGAGAGAGAGAGAGAGAGAGAGAGAGAGAGAGAGAGAGAGAGAGAGAGAGAGAGAGA